CATAGTGTATTTTATCTGTCCTTTGAATTTACCGCCCTATAGAGTACGCTATCAGTGTAGAGTTTCGGGAGTACCGGATTCAATGAATAACTTGTTGCATTTATAGTAGATTGTTCTGTGGTATATCTTACGTAGACCCCTTTAACTATTCTTATGTTTGGCCTATTTGTTAAAGGGTGAGTACTAAATTGTTATACTTACTGACATTGTGGTAAGTTGTAAATTTTGAGTGGATTCCTGTTACTGATAGGAGAAATTGTATTGGGCATTTAGTATTTTCTATTCTGAAATTACTAAGTCTAGTGTATACATTTTGCTGCTTTAGGCTAAACTATATTGATGTTGTGTATAGTTAGCCAGTGTGCAATTTTTTGTTGTTATTTATTAAATCATTTTTTGTGAGAAACTATTTCATGTGTGTTTGGTCATACACCTCCCTTGCTCTGGTAAATATCGGTGAAGCTGTCCATGCCATAACCCGAACCTGTGTTATAAATTTGTCTGCTTCGAGTGCCTCTACTGTGACGTTAGGGAGACCCGTTGTCACTGGTTACAAAGGTCACTAGAGGGTCACTGAGAGAGGGCTTACATTCAGGTAGGTAGTAACGACACTATTTAAGTATTAATCGTTAATTATAAACAATACAGTTCTCATTGTAATCATCATCGTACTTGTTAATAACAATGTTCATAAGGTGTACATACAGACATACAGACAGACAGGGTAGCTGCAAAGACTCCCTTTTGTGCTTCGTACATGGGAGTCAAAAACAATTTCACTCTGGTTGCATTTAGACGGGAACAATTGCACTGATTTATACTGATTTATTAAAATATGATGTATTTTGACCATAGAAACACCTCTGTTATTTACATAAGAGCATGCGCTACTAATAGAGCAAATACAGTATTGCATGCAACATCTCTTGACAATTTAGCTGTTTTAGTTTAAATACAATTACAGACTTAAACAAAAACAGTGTGAATCTAATTTTCACTATGTTGTATTAAGGCTCAAAACAACGTATATAGAAAGCTGCATTTTTACAAGAATTTACAAGTAATAAATGAAATAAATTAACCCACCTCACTCGCACTTACTACCTCATTCTCACTTTCACCAACCATTCCACTCTCACCACCCACCTCACTCACACCTACTACCTCACTTTCACCACCACCCTTACTCACACCTACTATCTCATTCTCATCACCCACCTTACTTTCACCAACCATTCCACTATCACCACCCATCTCACTCACACCTACCATCTCATTCTCACCACGCACCTCACTTTCACCAACCATTCCACTCTCACCACCCACACCTACCATCTCATCCTCACCGCCCACCTCACTTTCACCAACCATTCCACTATCACCACCGATCTCACTCACACCTACCATCTCACTCACACCTACCATCTCATTCTCACCACGCACCTCACATTTTCTACCTCACTTTCACCAACCATTCCACTTTCACCACCCACCTCACTCACACCGACTATCTCATTCTCACCACCCACCTCACGTTCACCAACCATTCCATTCTCATCACCCACCTCACTCACACCTACTATCTCACTCTCACCACCCACCTTACTTTCACCAACCATTCCACTATCACCACCCATCTCACTCTCACTCACACCTACTACCTCACTTTCACCATCCATCTCACCACCCACCTCAATTTCACCAACCATTCCACTCTC